AAGACCAGCATCTGGCAGAGGAGGTGGACGGCCTCGTGGGTGGCCTGCGAGGACAGCATGTACAGCGCGGACAGGGACGGCGGCTTGTGGGGGCGGCGCATCATGTGCGAGCGCGCGCCGTCGCACGCGTAGCGCATGTCCTCGAGCGAGGGCGTGCCCAGCAGCTCCGTGATGAGCTCCAGCTGCTGCACGGGGTTCTGCGCCTGGAAGAGGATCCGCCGGCCGAGCAGCTCGCCGAAGATGCAGCCCACGCTCCACACGTCCACGGCCGACGAGTAGTGCCTGGCGCCCATGAGGATCTCGGGCGCGCGGTAGTACTGCGTCACCACCTCCTGCGTCATGTGCTTCATCGTGTCGGGCTCCTCCACGCGCGCCAGACCAAAGTCGCAGATCTGGAGGGTGCAGAACAGAGAAGGGCGCCGATGAGAAACACACAAACACACACAACACGCAAGCATTGTCGCGTTCACGGGAACGGCTCGGGAGAGGACACTTGCCTTGAGCACGCAGTTGCTGTTCACGAGGAGGTTTCCAGGCTTGATGTCCCGGTGTAGGATCCGGGCCGAGCTCAAGTACTTGAGGCCTGGCGGACAAAGAAGGCGGAGTCGACCGTTAAGTGACACGAGCTCGGGAAAACGAGGAGGCCACAATTAAAGAGGGATTAAGGTTCAACAGTCGGTGTACGCACCTCTTAATATTTGATACAGGAATACTTTGATGTGGTCTGCCGAGAGATGCTGAGGGGACACGATGATTTTGTGCAAGTCACTCTGTAGCAGTTCCGTGATGACATAGCTGCAGGGAGAGAGTTAAGAAAAAAAAACGACAGGCAGAAAGAGCGGAAGAGTAAAAAAATACACAAAGTGGAAGAACTACAAATGGGACCCGTTCAGATCATAAAATGCAATAATTTATTAAAGTGTAAGCAACAGCTGACACAGGCTGTGCTAAAAACGATATAAAGTTAAAGGCTAACGGAAAGGGATGGCGATAATCGACTGGTTTGTTGAAGTGGGGGAGAAAGGGGGAGAGGTGGGGTAAAGGAGTTAGGGGTCCAAGTTTGCCTGCGTCTTTCTTTATCGACCAGCCAAATCAAGTCCTGGACAGGCGGGCCACTTCCACGACGTAGTGGACTGGACCCTTACAGCACCACCTGGCAGCGCCCTAGCGCGGCGACAGAGAAGGGACGAGAGGGAGAGAGAAAGAGATTTGGGGGGAAGGGGGGGGGTGGAGGGAGAGAGAGAGAGAGAGAGAACATCGATCGACCGAGAGAGGAAGGGAGGAAGGGAGAGTGCTGCTGCCGCTACAGCCGAGCTTGCCGAATCATTACTCGCAGCTTGAGATGAAAACAGGAGCGGCACGGGGGATGAAAGCGCCAGAGGGTGGGGTGGGGGCGGGGAAGCCGGTGGGGGAGCCACCACCCCGCCGAGCCGAGCCGCACCGCGCCGCCAGCAGTTCACTCAACCTCCCCGAGCACAGTCTGGACGCGGCTCCGGCGGCTCCGGTGCCATTTGCATTACAATGCCGGGCACGCGTGGCGTGGCGTGGCGTGGCGTAGCGCGGCGCCGCGTGCAGGGACCACGAGCACGCGCCCACTACAACCCCCACCCTGGCGGCCATGACGACGGCGCCCAGGATGACGTCGTCGTCGTCGTCGTCGTCGTCGTACTCCAGGACGATGGCCGCGCTCGACTAAAACCACATCATCATGCCCGTGCCAGCCAGACGGCAGGTGCGCGACGGCGGGGCGGCAGAGCACGAGAAGGAGACTTGGCTATAACTCTTGTCGAAAGCAGGCAAATGCCGGACAGGGCTGGGGGCCCCACCGGGCCCCACCGGGCCCCAGCAGGCCCCGCCAGGCACGCAGACAGACCTGGCCGCCCCGCCCCGCCCACCAGCGAATGTAAGGAGGCGGTGAACTCATTCCAAACTGACCCATCCCATTCGCTGGCCAGCGCAGCGCGGGCCGAGGGGCATATGGGATGGTCGGCCGTCGGGCAGGATAGTAAAGCCAGCGCGCGCGAGAGAGAGGAGAAGCGGACAAGCAACAAAATAAAAATTAAAAATGCGGACGCAGCGAGGCGGGCAAAAAGAGGGGGAGGCGGAATCAGATGAGACAAAAGCGGCGGCATAGCAGTGTGGCAGGGAGCTCATGGCGGAGCAGCAGCAGCATCATGGAAGCAGCATTCCCAGAAGCAGAGGACAGGGAGTAAGAGAGAGAGGAAGTGACAGAGGGAGAGACAGAGAGAGTGGCTGTGTCCGCCGGCGGCGCGGTGGGGTCCTGTGCGAGCCATGAGCCTGGACAGCAGAGCTGGGGGCCAGCAGACACCAGCCGCACGGCGGGTCGGTCCCACGACGCGTCGCGCCCAGTCTGGACTTCATGGGCCGGCGGGCCCGCGGCGGGCACGGCAGGGCCAGGCAGGGCAGGGCCCCGGTCGAGACTCTTTATGACTCACACTCGCACGGCTGACCCGCGCGCCCGCACCAGAGCCAGGGGCCATGCCATGGGACCGGTAAGGCACACCACCACCACACCACCTCATTGGCGAGCAGAAGGGGAAGAGAGGGAGGAGAGGGCAATTCACAGAGCAATCCTCACCGGAAACGATAAACCATAGCCGGGCCCCTGATAAGCTCCCTGTGCAGGTCGTGCGCCCGGCCGCTCCTTCCGCCGTCGTGGCGGTGCTGATGAGAAGATGACGTCCGACTAGAAAACTTCTCTCTGTAAGCCCTTCAGCGGAACCGCAAAAAAATTAAAGTATAAAAAAAAAACGAGAAAATATTGTTGTACCAAAAGTTTTACAAAAGAGAGATTTAACCCTATATACAGAGGCTTCTTTCGCGGTCTTCCCTTGCTGCTGGCTGCTTCTGCTTCAGGCCTCCTCCCTCCTCGACACGGAGCAGCGAGCAGCAAATAATAATAATAAAAACAAAAACAGCAAAAAAAGAAGCGAGGATGAGGCCGTCACAAAGGGGCATTAATGAGGGCGTGAATATGCTCTCCCACCGTCCCGCCAGGCCACCGTCCGAGGCAGCCACACACTCACACAACGGATTGGCTCCAATTCCATGAACCCCGCCAAAAACGGAGCCGACAAAGAAAGAGGCCATTTCAGTCGAAGCAACGACCGCCATGGCGCGGCAGCAGCGGACCGCCCGCAGACACGCAGAGAAATCAAAGAATAAAATGACAAGAGTCGAGATAGCGAGCGCACCGCGAGTCTGTGTCGGGTCAGGGCTGTCCGCGGTGGACGGGTCACGTGACCGGGCGCCACGAGCTAAACTACACCGCGGCCCCAGGTCGGGGTGTCGTCGTTGTGCAACAAACGGTCGTCCTTCGCGTCGCTCACAGGAAGGAAACGTCCACGAGTACATATCGGCTAGCACACCGACGCCGGCGCAGCCCCCCTGCGCCCGCCCCCGACGACCTCCGCGCCCGCCACTTATTGGCGAGCCGACGCACACCCAGACACGCAGGGAACCGACAGCCGTGGCTCACGCGTCAAATCAAGCGAGCGGAGCAAGCGGGAGCAGCCCCGCCCCGTCCGGCACAGGCAGGCCCCACAGATCCCGACCCGCCGCCCGCCTGCTGCCCTGTTCTGCCCCAGACGGACAAGGCCACGCCACCACGGGTCCGCAACCAACCAACCAACCGGCCGCAGCCTCTCTCCTCCCGCCGCCACATCCTCCCCCGAACCGCCCGCCTTCTTCAAGGACCCCACGCGCACGGTCCGCGCCTGGAGGGAAGTCCACGCCACGCCGACAAGCACCACCATCATCGTGTGCCATCTGCTTGGCTCACGACGGCGCGACGGATCAGCGGCATCCCCCCTCCCTCCGCTGCTCACTCCTGGTGACGGCTCCACCTCCGCCGACTGCTGCTGCTGCACCACGATGCACCAGGTATGGGTTCACTTCCTCCTTCAGCGGCGCCGAGTGTTTTGCAACCGCGTGACCTCCACGACGGCGGCGGCGCCGCCCTCCTTCCCTTCCCTTCCTCCTCCCCCCGGGCGCCATACACGCGACCACGTCACTCTCGACGTGAGGAGGAGCGCGGGAGGAGCCACCCTCCCGCCCGCGCAGCCTGCTGCATCGCGGCGCTCATACTCGCGTCATCGTGGAAGGACGCGGCGTTGTAGTAATGATATGAAGAATGATTAATTACTCCCCTTCTCCTTCGCCTTGGAAGCCTAAGCCGCCACCGCTGCTGCTGCTGTTGCTGCTGGTTGTGGTGGTGCTGCTACTGCAGCCCAGTGCAGCCGAGGCGCACCGCCTATGCAAAGTAGCCAGCCTAGCCAGCCATCCAGCCGCGCGCTCCGCTCGTCCCTCGGCTGCCCCACGGGACTA